CCTAGTTAACCTAATTAACTTAGTTAAGCCTTTAAATGTCACTTTAAGCTGTATAGAAGTGTCTTGAAAAATATCTAGTCAAATATTATGTACTGTCATCATGGCAAAGATCAAATAAATCAGTTATTAGAAATGAGTTAATACAACTATTATGTTTAGAAACGTGTTGAAAAAAATCCTCTCTCCGTTAAACAGAAATTGGAGAAAAAAAATAAACAAGCGGTCTAATAATTCAAGGGGGCTAATAATTCTAAACCTATATTATATAGCATATATATATATATATATATATATATATATATATATATAGCAGGGGTGAGCAAACTCAATCCTGAAGGGTCGGTGTCCTGCACAGTTTAGCTCCAACACTAATCAACCACACCTGCTTTTAGATTTCTAATGATCTTAAAGACATGCGCTGCGTCCAAAACAGCATACTTCCATACTATATAGTACGCTAAAATCAGTATGCGAGCCAAGTAGTATGTCCGAATTCATAGAATTCGAAAATCATTAGGCGAGAAGTACCCGAATGACTTACTACTTCCGGCAAGATTCTGAAGTGCGCATCCCATGCACGCTGCGCTATCCCATAATGCCCCGTGAGAAAATTAATGAATGGAAGTGAGGCGACGCAACTGACGCAGGTAGGTCATGTAACCATGACAAAATGGCGGATGTAGTACGTTCGAATTCCATTCATACTTTTCACGTTCATACTGTATAGAACGTACTTTTCTAACGGCCGAGTAGTACGTTTACATTCAAATGCAGTACCTACTGAGCAGTAGGCGGTTTCGGACGCAGCCACAGATTAGCCTGTTCAGGTGTGTTTGATTAGTGTTGGAGCTAAACTATGCAGGACACCGGCCATCCAGGACCTAGTTTGCCCACCCCTGATATATTGGGCTGTTGTTCTGCCTTTTTAGTACAATGATTTTGACTGAATGTCGACTGAAATGACTACACATTCATTCCTGACCTGACTTAGGATATTACCGGAAATCAAGATGCGGTACAAAAACATATTGATTTTGCTGGAATCTTGTGAAACAAATCAATAAAGGTCAGATGGTTGTCTGGATAGCCTCGAGCCTAATGAACTCAGTCAATGCGCATTTGACCTTGTCAACGTTCAATATCACTGACTGATAATAGCCATGTTTCCATCCAAAGATGCCATTCAGATTTATGCACAAAACTGGATTATCACATAAAACATTTGCGAATTAAGCACTGTTTCCATCCAATGAGTCAAAGAGAACAAAATCTCAACTTCCCAAAAAACTGGAGCCAAAATCAAATAGAAAAATAAAATTTGCGGTAGGAGTGTGGCTTTTTTCCTATATAACAAATTACTTGCACCATTGAAGAAACAGAATGAACCCATGGTCACCTATTCCACATGTTTTGGGACTTGTGGGGGAAACCAGAACCCCTGGAAGAAACCCACGCCAACACTGGGAGAACATCCAAACTCCATACAGAAATGCCAACTGACCCAGCCGAGGCTCGAACCAGCGACCTTCTTGCTGTGAGGCGAACGTGCTACCCGCTGCACCACCGTGTCGCCAGTATAAAATTTAGAGGAGGACTAATTGTTTTGACTTTACCTGTACATAGTCAAGCTGCAATATATATAGTGTATTTTTCAAAAAGCTGATATCTGTGTATAATACATTTTCAATAAAGTGTATCTGTGCATTACTTAAGATTTTGTGTTGTCCTTGTAAGAATGGCATCATCTCGCCAAGTCCTCATAGGGTTGGCGTCATTTTTTTTTACTATTTGAATACTGTGGTAATCTGTGTCACAAGCACTGACTCTACACATCGACAAGCATATACAAAAAAATCAACCAATACTTTGGTCTTTTATTAAAAAATAAAGAAAAATCCGCTTGTTAAGTGTGACGTCACGCGAAACGGCTTCCGGGTCCAAGCGCTCTATTCAACTGAATGGGGAGACTCATGAAATGGTGATTATAAACGTTTACAAAGCGATTTAGGGCTTTTGAAAATCATGATCACAGTATATAAGTCCATGCCTAATATCCGATAGCCAGAAAGTGATTAATGTTTTAAAAATTGTTAAAATTTTGGTATTTGATATGCAGCAAGCCCAGAGATTGTTGTGTACATTATGATATTATATAAAATTAACCTTAATGTGTGATAGGAATAAAACGTGATCATAAACGAATGATTTCTCCACGCAAATGAGTTGCGGCTTGGACCCGAAAACAGTATTACATACGTCACAATTACGTCACCACTTAACAAGCGGATACATTGGTATTTTAACAGAACCAAATGGCGAGCCTGTCAACTGATACTTTGTAGAATAGTAGTGGAATTAGAGAAAGCTTCCATTAGCTTAGTATAAGATATGCTACGCTTACAGAGAGTCCATGTAAATTGCATGTACAATAGCGTGTGTGAATGTGATTGTATGTTTTTGTCAGTCCGGTGAATCAGATACAGAGCTCTGAGATTTCCCTTAGGGCTGCGGTTGACCAGAACAAAGACATGTCTGTTTAGAGGAGAGATGGCACTGACTTTCACTTACACCAAATACACTTACTCACATTACAGAAGAGATGACTCACCTACTCTGTGCTAAAATGCATACAGTATACTGTTATTAGCCCTCCTGTAATTTTGTTTTCTTTTTAAAACATTTGCCAAATGATGTTTAACAGAGCAAGGAATTTTTCATAGTATTTCCTATAATCTTTTTTCTTCTGGAGAAATTCTTGTTTTATTTCAGCTACAATAAAAGCAGTGTTTAATTTTTTGAAACCATTTTAAGGTCAATTTTATTAGCCTCCTTATATTATATTTATTTTTTTATTGTCTACAGACCAAACCATCGAGACAATGACTTGCCTAATTACCCTAACCTGCCTAGTTAAGCCTTTAAATGTCACGTGAAGCTGAATACTAGTGTCTTGAAAAATATCTAGTCAAATATTATTTACCGTCATCATGGCAAAGATCAAATAAATCAGTTTTTAGAAATGAGTTATTAAACTATAATATTTAAAAATGTGTTGAACAAATCTTCTTTACGTCAATCAGAATTTGAGGAAAATATATAAGGGGCGCTAATAATTCAAGAGGGCTAATAATTTTAGACTTCAACTGTATAGATTTGGTACCTCTTCTGTGCGCATTTATGTTTGGGCTTTGCAAAGAGACTCAATCATTTTCCAGAAGCAAGTATTGTAATCAATCAAATACATTTTTGTTAGACATCAGCCAATCAGAGCTCTTTATGTTAATCAGGATCTATTCAATACCACATAAAATGCCAAAGTTAATGTTCAGTATGAGCTTTGTTCCAAATCTGCATCCACACAAATCTGTTCATTATAACCAATAAAATGCAGACCGAATGTAAATAAGAGATGCATTGTGAGAATCCAGCTAATCGGCACGGAATGAACTCCAATTCATTGTCAGCTTCAATAAAGAGAGCATTCTGTTATGTATAATACATTTGCAATTTGTTTTAAAAGTTTTACTTCTCATGCTGCAATTTGCTCACCTCAGAGTTTCAGCACTGGATGTTTATTTAAATCATAACACTTGAAATAGTTCCAGCATTTTACTGGATATAACAGTATTTAGTCTTTGGACTAACGCATACTGCTGTTTTAGAGACCGAGTCTGCCATAGACACACAGCAGGGCTGTTCATTCATTCATTTTCCTTTCGGCTTAGTCCCTTTTTTAATCTGGGGTCGCCACAGCCAACTTATCCAGCATATGTTTTACGCAGCGGATGCTCTTCCAGCTGCAACCCATCGCTGTGAAAACCCCCATACACTCCCATTCAGACACATACACTACGGAAAATTCAGCTTACCCAATTCACCTCGTGAAATGTCGTGTCTCGTAGACCCACGGTGCTACAAAAATAAACATAATAAAAAATGTGAAAACAACACTGGATGTAAGAACTACATAACTAACATACCAGAGTGGTAATCTAACTATACTAACTACTAACTATACATATATGCAAAGATACCATATTTTAAAAGACAGAGTATGAGTTCAATACTTTTTTCTTGTACTCGCCAATACCGATAACGATACCGATACCTTATTTAGTGATGTGGCAGTTTTCCAAGTAATGCCTCAGTGAGACCAATTATTTTAGGACAGGTTCTTTGTAATTATGAAAACTACCAACTTTTCTTGCTGGCTAAACACAAGGTTGTCAAAGTAACCAATTTTCAAACCATTCTTTATATAATTTAACATTTTTTACTCATATTAAAAGTATTTTTTTTTATTCTTTCTCTTGATATTTTTGCAGAGGAAAATTTGCAGTGTGTAATATGTGGGTTGTCTTCATACTTTTCTATCTAAAATCTATACTTAAAAAAAAAAGCCACCAGTATCGGTGCATCCTTAACATATACTATAAATACTTAAACTATACACAAATTCTAAGACAGACCACACTAAACGCACACCTTGATCTGATGAGGAAGACTATTCATTCATTCATTTTCTTGTCGGCTTTGTCCCTTTATTAATCCGGGGTCACCACAGCGGAATGAACCGCCAACTTATCCAGCTAGTTTTTACGCCCTTTTTAGTGGATGCCCTTCCAGCCGCAACCCATCTCTGGGAAACATCCACACACACATATCGACTACGGACAATTTAGCCTACCCAATTCACCTGTACCGCATGTCTTTGGACTGTGGGGGAATCCAGAGCACCCGGAGGAAGCCCACGCAAAGGCAGGGAGAACATGCAAACTCCACACAGAAACGTCAACTGAGCCGAGGTTTGAACCGGCGACCTTCTTGCTGTGAGGGAGGTGACAGCACTACCTACTGCGCCACTGCCTCGCCCCTTGAGGAAGACTAGAGAAACTTAAAAAAAAAAAAACCCTGTCAGCTTTTGCACAAATCTGTTTAATATGATTGATTATGCTTAATCCTTAATAATGTTATTTTCATTTGTTTTTCTTTTTACCCAGCTTGCAATGTGACCATTCATAACCGCTGCCGAGACACATTGGCCAACTGTGCGAAGATGAAACAGAAGGTAAGAGACGATGGAGGGATAATTCACTCTTGAGTATAACAGTGAGAATAAAACATATAGTTCAAATAGTTCACACTGGATGGAAGCTGACTTATTCTTGTCTAAAAGGCAATGTTGTTATGGGATGTGCAGAGCTTGTGTTCACCTTCTTTGCATACTAACACCTATTGGTTGATGGTCATCTTCTGGATAGAAACCTGCTGCCTTAGAATCCTGCACTTGTAACACTAGCTAAAGCTTCATTTTTTCAATTCAATTCAGCTTTATTTGTATAGCGCTTTTACAATGTAGATTGTGTCAAAGCAGCTTCACATAAATGGTCATAGTAACTGGAACAGTGTGGTTCAGGTTTTAGTGTTTAAGTTCAGTTCAGTTCAGTTTAGCTCTGTTCAGTGTGATTTAATCATTACTGAGAGTTCAAACACTGAAGAGCAAATTCAACGATGCGTAGCTCTACCAATCCTGAACCATGCGAGGCAGTGGCGACAGCGGAGAGGGAAAAAAAACTTCACCTGATGGGAGTGAAGAAAAAAAACCTTGAGAGAACCAGACTCAGTTGGGCACGACCATTTTAATTTCTCCGCTGGCCAAAAGTCTTGTGCAGAACTTCATTCGCCGTGGTTTATGCTGGAAGATGGCCTCAATGAAGACTCGTCTGTCCCTGGAGCGTCGCTGGAATCAGACTCATGTTCTCCACTCCCCACGACCGTCAGCGCAGCAGCAGCTCAGGATATGGCCTGGTCCCGGATATGGAATCCTTGGGATCATCACGTCGCTGGTCTTGGATCCAATCAGTGACTCCGCCTAATCTGAGGACCTCGGGATGAGTATCCCCAGGTGAAAATAGAGAATAAAGAGAATAATTAGCGTAGCTGCTGTTCATAGTGTATATAAGCAAGATGTAGAAGCCAGTGTGGAACCTGCTAGGTGATGCACTGAGTGTATGCTTTACTAAACAGATAGGTCTTTAATCTAGTTTTGAACTGGGAGAGTGTGTCTGAGCCTCGGACATTACCAGGAAGGCTATTCCAGAGTGTAGGAGCCATGAAAGAGAAGGCTCGACCTCCTTTACTTGATTTTGCTATTCTAGGTACTACCAGAAGCCCTGAATTTTGAGATCTTAAGGAGCGAGTTGGTTCGTAGCGAGACAGAAGGTTGGTTAGATAAACAGGAGCTAGATTATTTAGAGCTTTATAGGTGAGAAGTAATATTTTAAATTCAATACGAAATTTAACAGGCAGCCAGTGTAAGGAAGATAAAATTGGGGTTATATGATCATATTTTCTAGACCTGGTCAGAACTCTGGCTGCTGCATTTTGCACTAATTGAAGTTTGTTAATAGAGGATGCTGGGCAGCCAGCAAATAGAGCATTACAGTAATCCAGTCTCGAAGTCATAAAAGCATGGACTAGCTTTTCTGCATCTGAAATGGATAGCATATTTCGTAATTTAGCGATATTTCTCAGATGAAAGAAGGCAGTTTTTGTGACATGGGATATATGGTTTTTAAAAGTTAGATTGCTGTCTAATATGACACCCAGATCTTTTATAGTAGAGCTAAAGCTAACTTTGTATCCCTCTAATTGTAAATTGAGTTGCGAGATCTGCTGTGTGCAAGATTTAGGCCCAATAAGTAATAATTCTGTTTTGTCTGAGTTTAAGAGAAGAAAATTGTTGGTCATCCAGTCTTTGATGTCTTTGATACACTCAGTTAGTTTAGAAAGTTCAGACGTCTCGTCAGGTTTAGTGGAAATATATAATTGAGTATCATCTGCATAGCAGTGAAAGCTGATCCCATGTCTTCTAATAATGTCTCCCATAGGTAGCATGTAAATTGTAAACAGTAAAGGGCCTAAAACTGATCCTTGAGGCACCCCATACTTTACTGGGCAGATTTGTGAAGGCTGTCCATTAAGATTTACAAACTGGTAGCGGTCAGTTAAGTATGACTTAAACCATTGTAGAGCCTGTCCCTGGACACCTGTAGACTTTAAGCGATTTATGAGGATATTGTGGTCAATGGTATCAAATGCCGCACTAAGATCGAGTAAAACTAATAGCGAGACGCACCCTCGGTCAGCAGCTAAGAGTAAATCGTTGGTTATTTTCACTAAGGCGGTTTCTGTACTGTGGTGAGCCCTGAAACCTGACTGAAACACTTCAAAAATATTGTTCGTCTGCAGAAAAGAGCATAATTGAGTGGAAACAACTTTTTCTAGTATTTTAGACATAAATGGAAGATTTGAAATAGGCCTATAGTTAGCTAAGTTGTTGGTGTCTAGTTGCGGTTTCTTAATAATAGGCTTAATAACAGCTAGCTTGTAAGAGTTTGGAACATGGCCTATAGATAAAGAAGAGTTGATAATGTTAAGAAGAGGTTCTCCTATAGCAGGTAGCAGCTCTTTCAGTAATTTTGTTGGAATTGAGTCCAGCATACACGTAGCTGGTTTAGAGCTATTTATAATTTTCACTAACTCTTCATGTTCTATGATTTTGAAGCAGTGTAGGTTATTATTATGATTTAATGAAATATTTACAGGATTTGGAGTATAAGCCGGTGCAGAAAGTTTGGCATCTCCTATTTTCTGTCTAAAGCCTTCTATTTTATTACTGAAAAAATTCATGAAGTCATCACTACTAATTTGCGGTGGAGTAGTTTGTTCCAAGGATGACCGATTATTTGCTAATTTAGAGATGGTGTTAAATAAAAATCTAGGATTGTTATGATTATTTTCTATCAGTTTGCGCAGGTGCTCGGTCCTGGCAGATTTTAGAGCCCTCCTATAGCTGGACATACTGTCTTTGTACGCAATTCTAAAGACCTCTAAATTAGTTTTTTTCCATTTACGTTCCAGGGCGCGGGTTGCTGTTTTGAGCGCACGAGTATGACTATTATACCATGGTATAGTTTTAATCTCTCTAGCCTTTTTTAATTTGATGGGTGCCACAGTATTTAGTGTGCTAGTAAAGATGGCATCCATACTGCTGGTTACTACATCAAGATCATTTGAGTTTGCGGGTGCATTACGAAATAGAGAGAGATCAGGTAAGTTATTTATAAATTCATCTTTAGTTGACGGAACAATAGTTCTACTAGGGCGGAGTATTGGAGCGGGTTTGCTGATTTCAGGTAAACATAGCTTATATAGTAAGAGGTAGTGATCTGTAATATCATCACTTTGTGGTATAATGTCTACGTCAATAACCTCGATTCCATAAGACAGAATTAGATCTAATGTATGCTTTAAGCGATGGGTTGGACCCACAACGTTTTGCTTTATCCCAAGTGAGTGTATTAAATCCATAAACGCGAGCCCTAATGTATCATTAGCGTCATCTATGTGGATGTTAAAGTCACCTACAATTAGTATTTTATCAGTTTTGACTAGTAAGTCAGAAATAAAATCAGAAAATTCTTTTAGAAATTTGACATAGGGTCCTGGGGGTCTATATATGGTGATTAAAGCAAGAGATAACATAGGTTTTTGTATAGTATCTGGAAGCTGAACATTAAGCGATAATACTTCAAAGGAGCTAAACATAAGTCCGTTTCTCTGTTTAATATTAAGGAAATCACTAAAGATTGATGCAACTCCACCACCACGACCAGTTTGACGAGCCTCATGTTTATATAAGAATCCTGGAGGAGTTGCTTCATTTAAGCTAATATAGTCATTTTGTTTCAGCCAGGTTTCAGTGAGACAGAGTGCATTAAGATTGTTTTCTGTTATTATTTCATTAATGATAAGTGCTTTAGGTGCAAGTGACCTGATGTTTAGGAGACCAAGTTTTACGAAATTTGTATTTTCACTTTCTACTGGTTTTTCTGGTTTGATTCTTACTAGATTTTTCCTGGAGCACACAGTACGTTTATTTCTTAATCTAATAATACGAGGAACAGACACAGTCTCTATAGGATTCGCCAGATATGCGTTACTGATGTTTAAGTGGGGTGAACAAGAGTCTAGGTGGCTATTGTGTGAATTTTGTGAATTTTTACCTGCTAGTCAGATGGTGCGAAGTAGTCTGGAGATGTTGTCCGACAGGAGTTCAGCTCCGGCTCGACTGGGGTGCAGGCCGTCAGGACGGAAGAGCCTAGGACGCTCCCAGAAAAGATTCCAGTTATTAGCAAAGAGCAATTTCTGTTCTTTACACCATGTTATTAGCCATTCATTCAAAGCTAAAAGTCTACTGAACCTTTCATTTCCTCGGCGGTAGGTAGGAAGCGGCCCAGAAACGATGATCTGCGTGGCGGGCGAGGTGCGTCGAACCGTCTCGATCAGGCTCCTGAAGTCCTTCTTCAGGATCTCCGACTGCCGGAGCCCGGTGTCGTTTGTCCCCACGTGGAGGACAACGGCACCAGGGCTCTCGGCAGCGCCCAGGATGGTTGGAATCTGTGTAGAAATATTTTTCACACGGGCACCAGGAAAGCAGAAAGTACGTACTTTATTACCTTTTGAGGAGGCGGCACGGACGTGACGAACGATCGAGTCACCGATGATGGCCACATCGGGACCCGACTCGCGGAGAGGGGAGAAGCGGTTCTCCGTGGAGATCTCGAACACAGGCGGAGACGTTCTGCCCCGGGATCTGGGAAGCACCTTGCGCGGCTGCACCCAGGCGCCGTGGTAGCCGGGTGTCGGCGTGAACGACGCCTGGCTGAGCCGCGCCCCGGGTGCGCTGGGCCTGGACAGAGAAGGACGCGGGGTTGAGGTAGAGGGAATGATGTGGTTGTAATTTCCACGTACCTTAGGTGATGAGACGGCCTTAGCATTAGGTACGGCTAGAAGCCGTTCCCGTAGCCGCGACCGTCTTACCACCAGCGCACGGATCTGGGACTCCACTTCTTCCAGCTCCAGCTCCAACGCCTCCATCGATGCTTCTCCTGCACACAAGGACAGAGACGGAAGCGACATTTTACGGGGTAAAGAGCAAAGCCAGTAAGTCAAAAGTGTATGGTTAAAGAGGTCGGTAGCTTTAGCTGACCAGCGGCGCTAGCAGGCTAAAGCTACAAACAACAGGCGGATGCTCGAGGGACAGACCGTTTTTAAAGCAGCTTTGTTTGTATAAATGTATTAAGGGTTTGGTCACCCTAAGTAGGAGAGACAAATACTTAGCGAATGAGGAAGAATTTAATGATTAAGATTTAAATTGCGAGTAAATAGCAAGTCCAAACTTCAAGCACACAGTGTGTGACCGAACGGAGACAGTGACGCCAGTGACGTCACTCGAGCATGCGCGTGTGTCAGAATCTAGAATTAACTTCAGAATTCATCTCCCACAGTCTAAAGATATATTGAACCAAATAAAGTGAGTGTGTGAATGGAAGAGTGTCACTTCTAAAGACGCTTTATATGACAGGGCTCGAAATTGCGACCATTTTGGTCGCATATGCGCCCGAAATTAAAGCTATGCGACCTCATAATATATATTGTGAGCATTCGTGCGACTGCATGTAATGGTTGTAGTGCGACCTGTTTTGGTTTTTTTTTCTAAAAACGTGCTGAATCGCTGTTCCCTGCCACTATATTGATTCATATTAGCTGTCAATCACTCAAGACTTTCCGCTGTTAGATGACAGGGAGGGAGCTTTTGTGACCGCGGGGAATTCAAACGGCTGAATAGTGAATAGTACACTGAATCTCGATGCGTTGCATGCACTGCGTGTTCAGCCAACACAATCTCACGGCAATTCGTAACATTTTCATAGGTTTCCTCGTCAGATCAGGCTGCAACAGTGCAAATGTCCGCTAAATCACCATCGCCAAAGAGGCTCGCCTTTACTGAGTTTAAACTGATGCGGTTTATAACAAAGAGCAGTATTGCGCCGGTGGTCATCGGGAGAATCCTGCTCTGCCCCCCTCATATTGGGCCGGCTGACTCGCATGCTTTTCCGCAAACACAGAAAAATGTAATTAAGCGCGTGACGAGGCTGAGCATTAAAACGACTCGAACCGAAACCAAAACTTTTAAAAGTTAGACTTTTCTTCCTTTCTTGAGGTGTATATTATTTTTCTATTTAATTGCTGTTGACTGCTTTGCAGCTTTCAGTATTGAATTGAATGATTTATTATATTATTTCGTTTGTTTTGTAGCAGAATTATTATTTATTAAATTGACATGGATATAAAAACAATAGTACAAAATAAATATTTCTTACTACAATGCTTCATTTGTGTTTGATGCAAACCATCAATTTATTTTTCATAAAGTAACAGTAGGACTTTATATAGCAGATAACTTACATTAAAGCACATTCAAGGCAGCATGATGATAAGAAATATAATTCATTATTATTATTATTATTGTCATCATCGTCATCATTAATATTTTATAATTATTCAACATTCATTTTGGAATTATTGCACAAATATTAAGTCATCACAGCATTAGTTAGATAGTTGTTTCTGGGTTTTGTTAGTCCCAATTGATGTTGTTTTCAAATACAATAAATCCCTTAATATACAACTTGTCAAATATATCATTCATTTTTGGTGGATGCTCCTAATTTTTTTCTGGTGCTCCTAAATTTTTTCTGGTGCTCCTAAATTTTTCAGGTTGGGAGCACCGGTGCTACCAAGTAAGAAAGTTAATTTCGAGCCCTGTATGATGAACAGGTTCAATTTAAGCTTTTTTTCAAATCAACATTAGACTACACACATAAATAGAGCAATTAGAGCTTATCTGACATATGAGAACCATTGGAGCTTGTTGAATGTCAAGCAAGAGCTTCAGTTGACTATATTTGATGTGTGTTGGTCAATATTTGTACAGCTTGTAATAAATCTGTTCATCTACATACTTGGTTGGCTAAGGGTGTACTCACACTAGGCATGGTTGCACTGAACCATGCCCGGGCACAATTGTCCCTCTCCCCCTCGGCCTGCACTCACACTGCAATTTTACCTTCTGAGCCTGATCACGCTTACGTCATTGATGATGCGACTATTCAAAGAAGCGCTCTCACTCTCAATGGAGATTGCTTTAGTTGTATTGTTTTGTATTATTTTGAGTTTATGCAGTGACACAGAGTTAAATACTTTGCTGAAATGTTCATGAAAGTCATTGTGTTGCACATATTAGGAGGTTTGCTAAGGGTGCAGTTGATGTGCAGTGAGGGGTTAATATCTTTAATAAACTATGAGAGTTCACGTTCATTGAAAAGTAAGAATGATTGAAAAATTTATATGAAACAGACCTTTAAAAGTAACGTTGGGTCTTCAGTTTCGCACTCAGGCGTGTTTTGCACTCACACTACAAGCGTACCACACCAAAGCCCAACCGAACAGCACTTTGGCACACCTCTTCTAACTGGGCCGGGGCCGGCCACTGAAATGCAACCGGGCGCAATTCAGAGCACTCACACTTGTCAAACAAACCTGGAAATGGGGGTCTAACGTGCCTGGGCATGGTTCAGATAGTCTAGAGTCAGTACACCCTAAGAATAAGGTGTAATAAATGTGTAAAAAATTATATGTTTTTGATATCTGTTTGGTTTATTTAAGCTACTATGATTGCATGTTTATCAATTGATAGTGAAACCTTCCAAACCTTTTTCAGTTTCCTTTTTTTGTATAATAATAACATTATAGAGATGAAGAAGGCATGGAGATGGTGTTTTTTATATTCATGTAGAAAATAATAATGTTTGTAATATTTTAATACCTTTAATTCTTTTTCATTCATAAAGTTATTTGTGTATTGCTCTACATCCTGTGTGCATTAAACAATGTGTAAGCGATTAAGGCGCACAAATAACTCGCTCTGCGCTGGACTCTTGCTTTCAGCTGGTCTATTGCACAGTCTATTTTAGTTCCTCAAGATAGCAACGCGCCAACAATGTGCCCTAACACCTCTTTTCTAGACCGACACACCCATGAGTCCACAAAGCGGCGCAAATGGATTTGTTATTTAAACAATGTGTCACAAAGCGGGAAAATTACTGTTGCGCTGGTCTGAAAATAGCAACAAATCGCGCCAAACACGTCTTGTGCCTTATTGTGCCAGGTGCATGATAGGCTCCTTAGAGTTTATAATGGTTTTTATATTTTACATGTATGTTGTAATGTTTTGCGTCATCTCACCAAATTGTTTAATATGTTCAAATATATTTGTCAACATGAAATCATTTAATAACATGTTGTTAAATTTTAGCAACAGAGGCTGGCTCTGGGCAGGAACACCGCAACTTTACATAACGTGGCCCTCCGCAGCAAAAGTGAGTTTCTCTCTGTCATCTCCTACCGATTTTCCTTCTAATGTTTACTTTATTTTTATGTAAGTAATTTATAATAGTAATACTAATACAAAACCTATAAACTAATGTATTGTTGGTGAGCTGACTGTGATGTCATTTGATGTGAAGTTTTGTTGTTGTTAGATTGCATTGCAATCGCATTTGATTAATTACTGGGTTTACCATTGCCAGATCCAATACTGAAGGAGAGGCCGAGTTCAGCCATTTACCCGTCAGAGACACTGAGACAGTCTTTTCTTGGTTCCCGCAAAGGACGCTCTTCACTGTCCCTCAACAAGAGCGTCTCCACCAATAACATTGCAGGGTAAATGAAATACACCATCAGAGTGTGTTGTGTTAGGAATATACACGGCTTCTGTATCGACCTATTACAATCATTTTTGTTGTGTGATATAGCATCACAGATATCTTTGATATAAGTAATATTATTAGCATTTTAAAAACATTTTATGCCACTGAGTATTAGGGATGCACCGATAGCATTTGTTTGGAACCGATCTGATCTCGATATAAAAATTCAAAATCTGTTAAATGAAATATTGATATGTATAAAATGACAGTGAAATATTCACAGTTTCAAAGTAGCCTATATTAAGCTAAATAATTTTCTTTTAATGACAATCCATATTGCGCCCATCAGTTTCACTTTTATTAATTTAATCAATTACTTTGACCACAATGAGCCAGGCTTTACAAACTATTCACTGCACTGAAAGTATTCCCCTCGGAAGAATAAACTCAGTCTGAAGGATGAGAGAACAGAAACTTTAAATGTTACAGAATAATGTTATGGAGCGGTGCATATCATGTCTACGCAGCCGGATGCGTTAATGAAGCGCTCTATGCATCACTGAGCAAAGGAAACAAGTGCGTTGAGGATCTGTCCAATGTATTATTGAGCCGTTTCTAGTTTTAAATTTAAGGTAGGCCTACTTTGTGTGTGTAGAGCAGGTAATAACCCTCTCTATCGCGATCAGCTGATCTAACAGACACAGCGCAACATGACTTAGAAAGAGCAATGAACTCCTTGTTGCAGGTCAAATGAACCATTTTAATGCAAAACTAAATGCATTTCTCCACTGATTACTTATATTAACAGGAACAAATAGTCTTGGAGAAAGTGTTTTGAACGCAACGCGCAGTTTAAATTGTGAACGAATGGAGAATGATTGACAGGCGCAGCGGATGGAAGAGCTGAAGTGAACATAAATTTAATCACGTGACTATTCATCTGTACTTCACATTAAACTGAAGAAAGCCTTCAGAACATTTGGGATCTAGTAGGCCACATATCAACTTTCTAGGCCCTTATAATAAGCTACCTTTCTGGCTTTTGTTGGCTTCTAAATAACACAGATTATAGCGCACGCGCAAGATCGGATTTGGATCAGTACCAGCTGGCCGATTTCCGATCCAGCAAAAATATCCAAGTATGGGGATCGGTGCATCCTTACTGATTATATATTGTAATAATGCCAAAGGCATACACTTTCAAGAGGCAAAAACATTCTTAAAGGTTTAAACCCCTATGTCTCAGCAGGGATTTCTCACACCTATGATTCGAAAGAAATCCAGGGAAATGGGTGTTTCCAGCTGTGTTTTCAGGAAAGAGGAAGAGGAAAGGGTTTTTATAATAAGAGGTTTCATTATGTGCAGTTTATTTGCACACCACAGGCGCTGAGGAGATGGAGAGTGATTCTGAGAGCAGCATTTAACACACACTAAACACAGGGATGATGATAATACTAATCTGCATATTTAATGACTAGTCTGGTTTTGGGCTATTTGGAAACCCTTATTAGATTTTCACTGACAGCCCAAATTTTGTCTTCTTTTAGCCAAGCCCTTAATATCTAGATGCCTATTAGAAAGAGGGAAGAGTTTGCATAAAAAGAAGGCTTTCATTGTGTTCAATTCAATTCAAGTTTATTTGTATAGCGCTTTTCACAATAATTATGCTTTCAAAGCAGCTTTACAAAAGTTGTACATTATTGTATTACAATCAAAATGAGATATTAGTTACCATAACTTTACTAGTTGGTAATTAACCAACTAGTAACTAATAGTTTTTAAGAGTTAAAGTTACTATGTAAGCATAGATAACCTTCAGTTATATACTATATATGTGATGTGATTGTGTACATGTTCAATGAAGTGTATTTGTGTAGTTCTGAGATCTGTGCGGTGCACCGCCTCAATCACACAGTTTGTTGATGATAGTACATGTCGAGTGCCTTATCAATTAGAACCTTTATACACAAACATAAACGCTTACATAGCCATCTGAATAAACGTAAATAAAGAACATATAATCACACATTTTCCAGTTTGTGGAGACAATGAAATCAACATGAACTGGAAACACATTTTTTTTCCGGATAGAAAGGCAACAGTAACTCAAATAACCACTCGTTACAACCGAGGTATGCAGAAGAGCATCTCTGAACGCACAACATGTCCAACCTTGAGGAAGATGGGCTACAGCAGCAGAAGACCACACCGGGTGCCACTCCTGTCAGCTAAGATCAGTAAACCGAGGCTATAATTTGCACAGACTCGATTGAGATAGTAGAGTCAGAATTTGGCAACAACAACATGAAAGCATGGATCTATCCTGCCTTGTATCAACGTTTCAGGCTGGTGGTGGTGGTGTAATGGTGTGGAAGATATTTTTTTGGCAGGCTTTGGGCCCATTAGTACCAACTGAGCATCGTGTCAACACCACAGCCTACCTGAGTATTGTTGCTGACCATGTGCATCTCTTTATGACCACAGTGTACCCATATTCTTAAGGCTACTTCCAGCAGGATAACGCACCATGTCATAAAGCTTGAATCATCTCAGACTGGTCTCTTGAACATGACAATGAGTTCGCTGCACTCAAATGGCCTTCACAGTAACCAGATCTCAATCGAATAGAGCCCCTTTGGGATGTAGTGGAATGGGAGATTGGCATCATGGATGTGCAGCCGACAAATCTGCAGCAACTGCATGATGCTATCATGTCAATATGGACCAAAATCTCTGAAGATTATTTCCAGTACCTTGTTGAATCTCTGCCACAAGAAATTAAGGCAGTTCTGAAGGCAAAAGAGGGTCAAACCTGATACTAGTAGGTTACCTTATAAAATGGCCAGTGAATGTACAATCACAGGCATCAAAAACACGTGCAAATGTGATACAAACTCAACATTGCATATCCTGTGATGTGTCTATTGCGAATGATCACATTGCGATATCGATGCTGAAACGATATATTGATACTGCATTTTTGATAAATGTTTTAACAGTGTGAGAATGAAGAATATTTGAACAGCTCCTCCACAAAGCTCTCATTTACTAATGATTTCTTGTTAACAGTAGTCTAAACGATGACTCTCCTATTGGCCTGCGGCGGATTCTGTCTCACTCCACCGACTCTCTGAACTTCAGGAACAGAGCCATGTCTATGGAGTCCCTTAACGATGAAGGTACGACTACTGAAAACATTCACGAAACAGCATACAGATCAGAAAGCACGCATATCTGTGGTTCGCTGTTATCTCACACACATTTTTCTGCAGGAGAAACGTATTATACATCAATGATGGAAGAGCTGGAGAGGGACGGGAAGGATTTTGCGGCAGATTCCTGGAGTCTGGCTGTGGACTCCTCTTATCTACAGTCTCAACGCAAAGATGTCATCAAGAGACAAGATGTCATATACGGTTAGATTTGATTTATTTCTGTTATTTCTAACACAGTTGGTAAATCTGCTGTTTTAATTCTGCTCGACTTAACTGCTACTATTAATATAATTCGATGTGGTATAGGGTTGTCACGATACTGGAATTCGAAAACAATTGCTACTGAAATTTTTAAAATTTCTCGCTAACATGTGAGCGCATTCTTAAACAGCGCTGATTTGCCATTGTGTTCACATGCTCAACAGAAATAACTGTGATTGGCTGTGAAGGTCATCAGTTCACCGAACTCACCGATGTTTACTGAGTGTAACCACAGATACAGGGACACTGGAGCATTTCAAAGTCACGTCAATCAGCTGGTTTGTCTATAAGCTGACATACGAGAAATGTGCTGATGAATCGCGGCTTTAAAATGCTCCAGTGTCTCTTGTATCTGTGGTTACACCACTAAATATTACTAAACCTAATTTCTAAATCTGAACAAATATATATTACGCACATTTACATAAGTAAATAAATAGACTAAACGATGGGCTCAAAAATCTATGGAAATATCTTCTTTTTTGTTGAACAGAAGAAATAAACTCAAAGGTTTATAATCATAATTAATTGGTTTATATTTAATGAGCACATCTATATATTTGAATTTTATTCATGAATCACAAAGCTTATTAATTACATTATGTTTTTATAGTGTGTTCTGCTGTATAAGTTGTTCTTCTTAAATATATTTATAAATGTTGCTGAGTGTCGATGTAACTTAATTTCATTCTGTCTTTCATCTACTTTGATGTTTTGAATGACAAAAAAAGGAAACTGAAACTGAACCATTTGAGAAAGAGTAGATAGTAAGTAGATTTTATTTTTTTTGGGCGTAAACTATCCTTTTAAGGTAAAATGCAATATAATAATGCAAGAAAATAAACTAACTAAACTGAACATTGGCAGGAATTTGATGATTTTGCATTCAAATCTTCTATAGCATATGAGAATGGATTCAGGACGTCATCATGACGTCAGATTGATTGCATTTTGGGTGGAAATGAAAATCAGGTTGACGTCAGAACACAAAGACTGACCAATGTCAGTGTCCAATGTGGGACAGACGTTGGCTTTTGGTCACTTTCCAATGCCTAAAACCAACCAAATATCAACGCCTAATGATGTTACAGCTTGACATTTTGTGTTAGTAAAATGTGCTATACAAGAAAACAAACTAAAACTAAACTAAAAATTGGCAGGAATTGGATGATTTTGCATTCATTCATTCATTTTCTGTTCAGCTTAGTCCCTTTTTTAATCAGGGGTCGCCACAGCGGAATAAACCATTAACTTATCCAGCATATGTTTTACACAGCGGATGCCCTTCCAGCCGCAACCCAACACTAGGAAGCATCCATACACACTCATTCACACACATACAACACGGCCAGTTTAGTTTATTCAATTCACCTATTGCACATGTTTTTGGACTGTGGGGGAAACTGGAGCACCCGGAGGAAACCCAGGCCAACTCTCGGAGAACATGCAAACTTCACACAGAAATACCAACTGACCCAGCAGAGGGTCAAACCAGCGACCTTCTTGCTGAGAAGAGGTGCCAGCGCTACCGCACTGATTCTGCATTCAAATCTCCAAAAACATTCGAGAATGGATTCAGGACGTTACCATGACCTCAGATTGACGTTGTTCCTCGATGTAACGAAACTTGAAATAATGTATTAGTTTATTGTTTACGATTTTGATATTTTTTTGTTATTTTGTTGTATTTTGTATATAGTTTGATTTGTTGAATGAATTAAGTTGTTGGCATCCAGATTACGGAGCCTACTCGATATATGACACATGTAGTAATGTATGTAAAGCAAAGCACGCCAAGCATAGAACGCAAGGTGAAACATGTAAAAAAAAAAAGGCACAGGTGTACGGCTGCTTCATATATTCCCCGTTTATGAGTTTTAGCTCCTGGTTTAAGAGAAAATTAGCTAATGTGGTTTATTTGTTTAAGATTAATGTTTGAAGAACTGTTGATGTTGGCTTAGTGTTTTAATTTTCGGGATTCATTTGTGTTTGTTTGTTTGTTTGTTTATTTTCTCTCTTACGGTTATTCATGATGCAATGATGTGTAATAGTTCTATGGAATGTGACCAATAAATGAATCATGGATCAATCATCTTTTAACCAGGAGGCTACACCCAACGTAGTGGGACGTTGCATTTTGGGTGGATATGAAAATCGGGTTGACGTCAGAACCCAACGTCAGACCGATGTCAGGCAGATGTTGGATTTTGGTCACTTTCCAACGTCTAATGATGTTACAGCTTGACATGGTGTGGACAGTATCACTATGACGTCTATCAGATTTTGGTTGCCATACCTGACGAATTAACGTCAGTATTTGATGTCAATATGATGTTGGTTTAAGATGTTGGCTCGACATTGGATTTTGGTCACTTTTTAACAACCTAAAATCAACCAAATATCAACGTCATTTGACATCGTTATAGGACATCAAAATAACGTTATCCTGAGATGCTGGCTAGACATTGAATTTTGGTCACCCGACATCACAACCTAAATCTAACCTAATATTAATATATAATTAATAACTAATATAATGTCTCATAATGTTGTGTGCCTGCTGGGAAGTGTGAGTAAGGAGCTCTGCTGAACATTAATGTCTGCTATTTTTAATGAGTCGATGACATCTGTGTTTTTCAGAGCTGATTCAGACAGAGTTTAACCACGTGCGAACGCTGCGGATCATGGAGGGGGTGTTTCGCCGAGGGATGTTAGAGGAGGTGATGATGGAGATGGGTGTAGTTCACGCCATCTTTCCCTGCTTAGATCAGCTGCTGTTGATTCACACAAACTTCCTAAGCCAGCTACTGCAGAGAAGAAGCAATAGCCTGGCCTCCAACAGCAACCGCAACTTCACCATTCAAAAGCTGGGCGATATACTGGTGGAGCAGGTGAATATTTGACATTCAGTCTCACGTAACGTTGCATGGCTAATCTAGTAGTGTGGCTTTACATACAATTGAAGTCTAAATTATTAGCCCTTCTGTGATTTTTTTTTTTGTCAAATATTTCCCAAATGATGTTTAACAGGGCAAGGAATTTTTCACTGTATTTCCTATAATATTGTTTCTTCTAGAGAAAGTCTTGTTTGCTCTATTTCAGCTAGAATAAAAGCAGTTTTTAATTCTTTCAAATCATTTTAAGGTCAATATTTTTGGCCCCCTTAAAGGTTCACGAAACCCTCGAGTACTTTTTTGGAGATGTTAACAGATTTGTGTGTGTTGAGCATCAGTTAAGACAATGTTAGCACCTGTCAGCTTCAATTGTGGGGAAAACTGGATAATTTTGAGCTTTTGTCTGCTAATTTCAGCTTTCGGGTTTAAAATGATTCTTGGGGCAGATCAAAATCGGCGACGCAGCCCAAAACTGCAAGTGCAAAGATGACATGTCGGTTTCTCATTATTATTCATAGCGGAGTTTTCTTATCCTATGAGCAGAGCCGGCTTCTTAATTATTCATGAGAGCACGTGCTTTCCAAAGACAAAGCAGACCTACCAGTGCCAAGCTCAGCTGTGAAATCCTACGTTGATGACTGGGTGAGACGCGTCCATGGACCCACGGCCCGCAGTATTTAGCCATTCATGAAGGGTTGCATGTGTTTGTTTCCATGATCCTCGGGGTTTGTTGCATGTTTTTCCCCGCGAACCTGTCAGGGCCGATACAGCAAAGCTGTTTGTGTGTGTGCTGCAAGCATTTTTGTCAGGAGAGCAGTACGAGAATTGGAGAATGGCGGAGGTTGTCTTTTATCAGGAGTTCGTTCACATTAAGACAAATCACCGTCCTGCTGTGTTCAACCAAATCCTCCAGATTACCAGCAGGGCTAATGGTTAAAATAGACAGGGCAAGAAACCTGCTGCACTGAGTCTGCATTCAGACCCAGGGATTGAGGGAAAAGTCCTAATTTATTGTGTTTATATGAACACGATTATCTTTAGAATTATATGAATTGTGGTTATGAGTATATGAAATTAAAAATGTAGCAGGGCATTAAATTAGTTTATTGCTGTCATCATGGCAAAGATCAAATAAATCAGTTATTAGAAATGAGTTATTAAAACTATTATGTTTGGAAATGTGTATCAAAAAATGTTCTCTCCTTTAAACAGAAGTTCGGGGGGGGGGGGGGGGGGGGGGTGTATACTGTGGGGATAATAATTCTGACTTTAACTGTATGTGACCCTAGACCACAAAATCAGTCTTATTTTTAGCAAGTATAATTTTGACAGTTCCCAAAAATACATCGTAAGGGTCAAAATCATAGATATTCCTTTTTTTTGTTTGCCAATAATCCTTAAAATTTTAAAGGAACACTTCATTTTTTTTTTTTCAAAAACTGCTTTTTTTATTTTTTAAAAGAGTTAAATTATTGAGTTTTACCATTCTGCTTAGCTGATTTCGGGGTCTATTGGGAACACTTTTAGCCATGGGAAAAATTGTAACGGAAGATTCAGGCTATTGACAGCACTACCCACTGCGCCACCGCCCCATTTAGATTTCTATTTAATGCTATTGATTTCTGTTCATCAATGATTCTCATCCAGATTTTTCCCTGCATCAGTTTTCAGGTCAGAATGCAGAAGACATGAGGAAGTGCTATGTTGAATTCTGCAGTCGGCACTTAAAAGCTGTGAAACTGTACAAGGAGCTTTTGGCCAGAGACAAGAGATTCCAGCAGTTCATACGGGTGAGAGAACAGCCAGAGAAAGACTTTAGCATTTGTGTTTTAGAGTATTATGTGTTTAATGAAATATCTTTTCACTTACATTCTGTCCAGCGGGTAAGCAGAGGTTCTTTACTGCGCCGCCATGGGGTCCAAGAGTGCATCTTACTCGTCACTCAGCGCATCACTAAATACCCCGTGCTCATGCAGCGCATACTAGACAACACTAAAGGTGAGAATACTTCCCAGTGCACTAGAATATACTCAGATATATAATGCTTGATCACATGAAGCTAAAGCTGACTCAAATGGCCCATTTCCACTGACTGGTACAGTATGGTAAGAGTTGGCATGGGTTGGTATGTTCACACGCATGTTATTATCATCAGCTCAAGACGTTCGTTATATCAAATATAGACATGATCGCGAGCTCCCTGGAGAAAGCGAAAACTGCTAGCACTTTTAGACGGTCTCGTAAAACAACAACAGGACACGGCAGATTTTGTTCTTGGCTTTGTGGCTGTACATCAAGACAACGACAAGGTTTGTTTGAGCTTGGGTCATCCATCTCGATGTAATGTCTCGGCTGTGTATTTAAAACATGGCGGTTCCTTTGTTTTCATTCTGGCTAGCTCCACAAGCTTGTGACATATCTCTGTAACCAATCAGCGTTCAGCTGCGCGTCTAGCTCCGCTTTTTGGTACTCTTTCTATTGTTTGGTACCCTTTCGTAAGGGTGCCGAAAAAGTGATACGGAACGTTTCCGTACCGTACTACTCGGCCAAAGTCGAAAGTGGAAACGGGCCAAACCTAATGAATAGTTCATTTAGAGAGCAGTGTCAACACTTTTTTAAAGGGGACCTATTATGCAAAAAAAGGAAAAAAATCACTTTTATAAGGGCTTTAAACACAAGTGTGTGAGCATACACACAAGTGTCAATATAACCAGCCTCTAATGATGAAATGAATTAATTGTATTTTTTTTATAATTACAAAAAACAATCTACAGAAACACTGATTGACATTAGTGACGATCTCTTCCTCAGTGTAGACAGCCCTGAGTGAGAAACAGCCATCCGCCATTAGAGTTTTCACACCATACCTTCTAAAGATAAGGTATTAAGGTTGATGGGGGTTGTTACTAGGCCATGATGGACAGAGGCCAATATGCAAATTTGGCCAAGATGCCAGGGGTAAACCCCTACTTCTATTCGAAGGACATCCTGAGATTTTTAACAACTCTGGGTGCACCTCTGAAAGGATCTAGTAAACTCAGACATAGTGACGAACGAATGTATGCTGTTTTTCAGCCTTCCTAAAGCACAGAAAATCTCTCAGTAAAATCAATGTCACCGGGCAGGCAGTAGTCGGGCCCCTGAATACGCATCTATTGTGAAGTGAGTTTGACATGCGAATGAAGCAAATTTGACGCATGAATGAAGACAAGTCACTCAAAATGTTCATGTGTCTATTTATTTACTATTTATTTGCGCAAGCAGCATCTGGTGTGAACACCTGATTCGCATGAAAAATTTACATTGTTGTCTCCATAGAGGACTTTCTTCTAAGCCACTTGCCGTCATAGGAGTAAAACATAAAAACGTCCTAGCCAGAGTCCAGACTTTAACCTGATTGAACATTACAGTTGTCATTATGGGGTTGTATTTATCCCATTTTGAGAAACGTCTGTAACTTCAGCATGTATTTATATATATAATTATTATTATCATTATTTTATATTTGAGTCACCAAAATGGCAACATTTAGATCAAAGCCTAAACGTGGCTGTTTCAAAGAGTTAGGATAAATATTTGTGGGGTATTTTGAGCTGAAACTTTGCACACACACTCTAGGGTCATCAGAGACTTATTTTACATCTTGTAAAAAGAGGCATAATAGTTCCCCCTAAAAAGGGCATAATATGTCTGCTTTTAAGCTCTTCAGCCTATATTAGTGCCAAAGGTTGCTGTTTAACTATAAAAAAAGATCTACAAAGCACAAAGCCCGGCCTCTATAGAGCTATTCTCTGTATCAAGCACTGTTTCTGTGTTCCCTCAATGCCTTGATTGTAGTCTTGAGTTTAGAAAATGTACGTCACAATATCCCAAATTAAAATAACTCTTGGCCTAACTGTGCCCAAGGGGGAGAATCTGTTTTAGGTTGTGTGAGCGTGTTGTCTGATCAAATTTAAATAAATACTTGTCATTAAACCTTATATAACTTTATGACATAACCTTGTGCATGCTTGACAGCTGACTCAAAAGACTCAAAATCAAATTAGACATAGAGAAAATCTCATATCTGGTGTTTTAACTGACGTCACCACTGATCTAGTGTTGAATCTGTTTCAGAACCCATGCAGATAATTAGTTTGTTGTTGCTGGAATAACCGACGCACGAGCTGTAGTGGAAAGGATTCGGGGACCAGCAGTTAGTTTGTTAATTTCCTTTATCATCTTTTATGAGCCAATGAAACTCGACACACAGATCAGTTATTGGTTATTGGCTCCAGTTTCTATCAATCCCACCACTCTAGAGATGGCCGTCCACACATTCATTACATCACGGTTAGACTACTTCAATGCACTTTACTGTGGCATGTGAAAATCCCAGGTTTCTCGCCTTCAGTTGGTCGAAAATGCTGCTGCTAGATTTATTTGTTATAGCAGAAAATATGACCACATTAACCCTCTTCTAATAGGCCTTCATTGGCTGCCTGTCCAATTCAGAATTGATTTGAAAGTGCTTTTACTGGTTTATAAATTCCTCCATAATCTAGCCCCATCCTATCTCTCAGAGCTGCCTAATCTTTACACTCTGCGAGATCTCTTACGTCACATGATCAGAATCTTCCTTTAGTTCCACAGTCTAGGCTGAAATGTAGAGGGGACAGAGCTTTCTTTGTGGCAGGTCCTCGGTTGTGGATCACCTTGGCCCTTGAGATTAGAATGGCTCCATCATTATCTATTTTTAAATCACTTCTTAAAATGTTCCTTTTTAGCTTGGCTTTTTAAGATTATTTAAATAATTCATTCTACCGCAAATTTTTTACGTTTCTCTTGCCTTATTTCTGTTTTATATTCTGTCTTTTAATTTTTACTTTGTCTTATGTACAGCACTTCGGTCAGTCTTGTGACTGCTTTTAAATGGGCTTTAAATAAATGAACTTGAACTTAATCTTGTATTTAATTGGCAAAAGTAAAAAAATAAATAAATAATTCACTGACACACTGTATTTTGTAAATGTAAACATATTTGTTTGATAGCTGCATCAAAATTTTTTTCTTTTCAATTTATTTGCTCTCTGAAATCATTGGAAATCTTTTATTTGTATTTGTATTTTTTTTGTTAATTAAAGTTTAGGGAGAATCAGCAAATCTTGTTATTGCCTTTTACAAAACTTCCACTTTTTTGGGAATTGGGGTTGTAAAAAGACCCCAAAAACAGCACACTGAATGGATTTACACTGAATGGTATAATAAATAAATGATCTGTGAGGTATTTTGAGTCGAAACAGGTGAGTGGGCTTGACAAACCACATGTAGAAATCACACTCTTTCGCCTCTCTGACACTTTACACCAACACTTGCACCAGACACGTTCTTACAATTACTCAATATCTAAAACAAGAAAAAGAAAAAAGTGCATTTATGAAGTATGCCTCAAACAGGTGAGTGGAGTTGACAAACCACCTTTAGAAAACACACACTTTCATCTCTCTGACACTTTAAACTGACACTTGCGTCAGTTTCACACCAGACACGTTCTTACAATCATCAGTATGATGATATATGTATATGAAAATTTAATGATATATGTATATGAAAAACACTTACAGAGACAGGACAAAAAACAGATAATAAATATGTTTTAAAAATAGAAGTAAGTAATGAATGAAAATATACAAATTGACAAATGTATACAGCTATATTACTATATACAACGTTATACTGTATGTGCAGCTGTTATGTGCAAATTAGCATGCAAAGTGTGTTGTTAAATAAGTGTATATGTGTATAAAAGTGTATAGCAAGTAGTGATGTTGGTTCTACCATTATTATCATCAAATGTTCATGAGAAGGATGGCCTTAGGGAGGGAACTGTTTCTGTGTCGGGCTGTTCTGGTGCGCAGTGCTCTGTAGCGTCAACCAGAAGGTGTGTGTATTGCCTCTTTTTGTTGAATCAATTGAATGCTTCACAATTATAAGTCGCTTTGGACAAAACCGCCTGCTAATTGAATAAATGTAACATCACAGATATATTCTGGAGACACCTGAGACATACACTTACCAGCCACTTTATTAGGTACACCTTACTAGTACCGGGTTGGACCCCTTTTGCCTTCAGAACTGCCTTAATCCTTTGTGGCATAGATTCAACAAGGTATTGGAAATATTCCTGAGAGATTTTGGTCCATATTGACATGATAGCATCATGCAGTTGCTGCAGATTGGCCTGATCGGCTGCACATCCATGATGCGAATCTCCCATTCTACCACATCCCAAAGGTGATGGATTGAGATGACCGTGGAGGCCATTTTAGTACAGTGAACTTATTGTCATGTTGAAAAAAAACAGAGATGATTCATGCGGCGCATTATCCTGCTGGAAGTAGCCATCAGAAGATGGGTACACTGTGCTCATAAAGGCATGGACATGGTTAGCAACAATACTCAGGTAGGCTGTGGCGTTGACACGATGCTCAATTGGTACTAATGAGCCCAAAATGTGCCAAGAAAATATCCCCCACACCATTACACCACCACCACCAGCCTGAACCATTGATAAAAGGCAGGATGGATCCATGCTTTCGTGTTATTGATGCCAAATTCTGACCCTACCATCCGACTGTCACAGCATAAATACGCTTTTCCTATCTTCTGTTGTCCAATTTTGGTGAGCCTGTGTGAATTGTAGCAGTTGGACAGGTGTACCTAATAAAGTGGCAAGTGAGTGTATGTTATAACAAAAGAGTGGAATTATTTAACATTGCATATTGTATACCTTTTGAGGTCTTATTTTTTTAACACCTTACAAACATCATCTCCAGTTTTACATGCACCAATTTAAATAAAACACAGATTTTTAAATTGGATTCTTTCAGATTGACAGAGTTAGTACACAGGCTTTTGTATCAAACCACCAGGGTTATTATTGAAAACTAAATTATTGTTATTTTACATAAAAATTAATGTTCACTGAAATAATGTAGAATACCTTTTAATTCAGGTAGTTAATGTAACAATAATTGTAACATTTTTTTTTTCACAGGTAATGAAGAGGAGAGCAAATCTCTAGCTCAGTCTCTGACACTGATCCGGGAGCTCCTGTGCTCCGTGGACCAGCAGGTTCAAGAGTTAGAGCGAGCACAGCGTTTGCAGGAGATCCAGTCCCGTCTGGACCCGCGAGCTGAGACCAAAGTTAAGGGTGGAGGAGTTTTTCACGGAGCAGAGCTGCTGCGCCGGGGCCTCATTCATGAAGGAGCGCTGCTGTGGAAAACTGCACAAGGCTCCAGACTAAAAGGTGCCATTAGTGTGTTACTGTTTTTCTCCTCTTAAGGACCCCGGCGTTTTTTTACATGCATTTTTTATTTTTCCTTGCTATTTGGGCTTATTGGAACCCACCATAATTAGAATAAAAATCTAAGTATCATCTTTTGATATGATGTACTTTTAGAGAAAAATAATGTGCATATATGTGGACTCGTGGTCTGAATTTGCATAAAACACTTTCTCCTTTCAGTTTTTTAATTTTTTATTTAACATAGAATTATTTTTTTAAACTTGCTTTGACTATCAGAGAGTAAAAATAATTTTTTTTCCACATTTTGGACAGTTAAAAATAGGGTTTAGGACATTTCATATGCTGTTTTCGTAATCTTTAATCAAAATCTGACCATTTGCTAATTTAACTGGATGAAGTTGAATTAATAAAGCATTTATTAACATACAAGTAACTATTACTATATGCCTGATTAAGATATATAAATGTTCATTTAAACAGTTTATTAATCATTTATTAACTCATTCTGAATGATCTGAAGAAAAAAAGTTACACTTTATAATAACTACACACTATCAACCATTTATTAAGCATTAGCAAATAGTGAATTGATTATCTGTTAAGCATTATCTCTACATTAATAAGCGTTTGTTAGCAGTTTATAACTGAAGCTACAAATGCTGTATTCTTGACTTACAACATTTAAAAAGTTAATCTCCCATTGCATTGTTATTGTAAAAAATGATAATTTACCATTAACCCAAAAGAAAGCAGGTAAAAAACATACTGTGCGATAATGAAAGGATGAATACACACGCACGGTTAACATTACACCCATAAATAATCTGTTTAAAGAATTGTTAAAGCGAAAGCAACCGATGCTGCTTGAAAAAAGACAAATCTGGAGCTCTTGAAGGCAGCAATACTGTGGGTGCATGTTCATCACTTATTTTCTACTCTATTTAAAAGAGAACCGGTCACATCAGCTGTGTTTCTAGACACAGTTGCTCCACGCAAGGAAACGGGAGCACGCACGCGTTTTAAACAGTTGAGTGCGAGTGATTATCCTCTCATTCGGTATTCACCTGCTTTCTATTGCTTGCGCGAACGCAATTATTTTGGTCAGTCGTGTTGCTTCTCAATTCTAAGATCGCCTTTGCATGCATATTGGATCATTCATATTGTTGAACCCTGCTTTTAAGAATTGTTACCTGAGAAAATTATTTTCAACCAGTCAAAGTGGCTAGTGGGAGTGCTTGTCTTACGGGTGTTGGTGGGTGTTAATGTCAAGCCCTGGGTAGGTCCCACCACAACTTTTCCTGTCATCATATCTTACAAGGAAGCCAAAATGCTTTCATACACGTGATTTGAATGACGTGGGAGACTGGCGATCTCTCTGCAATTGTTATAAATGTTGGATTAACCTACAAGTTCAAAAAAAAGGTATTAATCCGCGGATCCGAAACGAGTGTTGTGATCCGTACAGATCACGGATCAACAGTAATCCGTTACACTTCTACTATTGTTGATGGTTGGTTTATTAATAACTCTGTTTTTCTTTGCTCTATAGATGTCCACGTTTTGTTAATGACAGATGTCTTGGTGTTCATGCAAGAAAAAGACCAGAAGTATGTTTTTCCAACTCTGGTGAGTCACAGCTTCCTGTTTGCCGTATGTGACCCTGAACCACAAAACTAGTCTGAAGTTGCATGAGTATATTTTTGGAAATGGCCATATCATAATCTTCTCTCCCCCCTTAAAATGACTTTTCTTTACTTCTGGTCACTTGAACGCCTTTTGGGAGGAACTTCATCCATGGAAGTGAAGTTTGTTTATAAACTGATTTCGAGAGGATCACGTGCTTATGACTGCTAGTGGCTGGACCCGCATTATCCAATTCTCAATGCACCAATCAGATGACTCCTAAGCTACTGCAAAAACCCTGGGTTCCATATCACCGCTATTTTCGTTTTGAAGAATCCCCCTTCCACCCCTACTTCTCCTCCTTCCTATATGGGTGACATGGTGGCCCAGTGCTTAGCACTGTTGCCTCACAGCAAGAACGTCTCTGGTTCCAGGCTTTACCAAACCAGCAGACACATCTGTGTGGAGTTTGTACGTTCTCTCCATGCTCATGTGGGTTTCCCGGTTGCCTTCCACTGATCAAAAACAAGCAACCTAAGGTAATTGACTAATCCAGATCAACACCATAGTCTAGCCCCTACCTAGTACTTTTCTCTTTAAGAGCAACTACTATTTGCTCTTCAGCCACCATGACAAGGGAGTTCTCGAGATCTACCTGAGCTCAAACTCCCCTCTCAACTTGCAACGGGAGGGAGCCCCGGGCTCGAGAATCTTATGATCTCAGGGCTTTCTCCCGGGACAGCATGCCAAAGTAGCTTATAATTAATTATCAGCTAAGTGTGAAGTCTTGAAAGCTTATTTATTTGGTTTTCAGATGATGAATTGATCAAAATATTTTCACTTATGACTAGTTTTGTGGTTTATGTGGTAGATATGTTACAATTTATCTAGTGTTCAGTATTGTTCTACTTCAATCTCTATATCTTGCCCTCTCTTTGCAGGACAAACCATCAGTCCTGTGCCTTCAGAATTTGATTGTGAGAGATATAGCCAATCAGCAGCGAGGAATGTTCCTGATCAGTCACTCCACGCCTCCGGAGATGTACGAGCTCCACGCTGCCTCCAAAGACGATCGAAACACGTGGATGAAAATCATTCAGCAGACAGTGAGCAAGTCAGAACCAGTTCACAACTCCTCCCTCCCCTAAAAAACCTCAACGCAAATCTAGAATAAATCAGCACAGCAAACGCTTCATCTGCGTTTCTCTTTTACAGTTGTCCATCAAGAGAGGATTTCCCTTTGATTGAAACAGAGGACAAGGCTTTGCTCCGCAGACTCAGAGGTTTGTGTAAACGGGAATTATTTTTTTTTACTAACTAGGGCTGCATAATATATCATTTCAGCATGGATAACGCATGTGTGCATCCGCTAGATATGAATTATAGTTGATCAGGGGTCTGTTCCTCGTACATGGATTACTCAGTTAGCTGGATTTGGTTATTGACGATTTGACACGATCCAACATCGTTTCGTTCTTCTAAACTCTTCCGAAAATGTTGCAATAGCAACAGTTCTGGTAGCTCAAACCTGCTCAGAAGCAGCAGCTTATTTCGTATAAAGAGGATAAGATCGGGTTACTTCAAGCAAAGATAATACTGAAAATATATACCGAATTCTGATATTTTCTTACAGTAGTTTGACTGTAATATATATATATATATATATATATATATATATATATATATATATATATATATATATATATATATATATATATATATATTATATAACTTAAATAGGCGAGGCAGGGGCGCAGTAGGTAGTATCTGCCTCACAGCAAGGTCGCTGGGTTGCTGGTTCGAACCTCGGCTTAGTTGGCGTTTCTGTGTGGAGTTTGCATGTTCTCCCTGCCTTCGCGTGGGTTTCCTCCGGGTGCTCCGGTTTCCCCCACAGCCCAAAGACATGCGGTACAGGTGAATTAGGTAGGCTAAATTGTCCGTAGTGTATGTGTGAATGTGTGTGTGGATGTTTCCCAGAGATGGGTTGCGGCTGGAAGGGCATCCGCTGCGTAAAAACTTGCTGGATGGGTTGGCGGTTCATTCCGCTGTGGCGACCCCGGATTAATAAAGGGACTAAGCCGACAAGAAAATGAATGAATGAATAACTTAAAACTTATGCAATCTGCACTCCAAAATAAAAGTACAAATACTGCCACCCGGTGGTTCAAAGATAAAATGTATTAATATTAACCTTTTAGATACAAACGCATACAATTGCTTTAGTACAATTTGTGTATGATAATAGACTGCACAACATGCAACTTTTTTTAAAGGAATAATATATTTATGCAGTCATGAACATGTTTTGACTGTTATGATGGTGATTTGATGTTTCACAAAAGTTGCAGACAACTTAACCGATATCAAAATGCTTTTGTGATGCAAAATTAGTTTTAACAGTTATTCTTTACACTGATTAAGAAACGGGCTACTATAATACTACTATGGCTACTATAAAAAGAAAATCTGTTCTATCTTTAAAACGAAATAAATTGCTAAATGCTTTTGACACATGAAAGTGGAAAGCATGCAGCCCACAACAAAGGTGGAAAGTTATTGCGTGTCATATTTAACAAATCGTTTAAAACTAATTTTATATAATTTTGCTCGCATGCATAGTTGAATATTAATCAGATGATGTCATTGCGCTGCTGTGCCATCAGCCAATTGTTGCATTGCTGATCATGATTTTGAAGATCGATAGATCTGTCCTTCACAACACATGGAGCGACCTCAGATCAGTTAATTCTGACATTTTAATCTGATTCATGAACTTGTTTGAAGAACTTAATTAGCCAGAGATCAGATACCAAGATCAAAAGATCCAGGGTCTGCCAAATCATCTTAGATCATTTAAGTGAGGTACGAAAAACGGACCCCTGGAGCTACAGAATTGTGTTCAATAATTTTGTTTAAATGGTTTATGCAAAACAAAAATCTTACCTAGGATTATCGTCTTATTTCTTGTCCAAATAGCTACATTTCAAAGCTAAAAATAATATTTTGACTTGATCTAAAAAATTATATATATATATATATATATATATATATATATATATATATATATATATATATATATATATATATATATATATATATATAATAGTTTGGATAACTCATTTCTAATAACTGATTTATTTTATCTTTGCCATGATGACAGTAAATAATATTTTACTTGATATTTTCCAACACACTTCTATACAGCTTAAAGTGACATTTAAAGGCTTAACTAGGTTAATTAGGGTCACTAGGCAGGTTAGGGTAATTAGGCAAGTTATTGTATAATGATGGTTTGTTCTGTAGACTATCGCTAAAATATATAGCTTAAAGGGGCTAATAATTTTGTTCCTAAAATAGTGTTTAAAAAATTTAAGATTGCTTTTATTCTAGCCGAAATAAAACAAACTAGACTTTCTCCAGAAGAAAAAATATTATCAGACATACTGTGAAAATTTCCTTGCTCTGTCAAACATCATTACTCAAACAAAAAGAAAAAAAATCAAAGAGGGGCTAATAATTCTGACTTCAACTGTATATATTATCTTATTTACCATATTAGGTATCTTCATGACACAAATAATAAAAATAAAGCTTCTTTATTTTGGTCTCTTGTCAAGACAAGTTCTAAAACGGTAGGGATAAAGCCAAAGGAAGGTTGTATAACTCTTATTTTTAGCCTCAATCTTACTTTCTCTTTCTCAGAATTCACTCCCCGGAGCATCTGACATGATGTACCTCACTTAGGACATGCATGAGGGCTTCCACTATCGTAATACTCCTAAAACATGGATTGCCGTTAAACTAGTCAATGGCAGGAAGCCGTATTCTCTCGTCAACGGCAGGGAAAGAGCTAAGCAAAATCATTCATCTATTTGATGCACATCATAATATGCTTATTTCACGCGCCGCCATGTTAAAGAACGAAAGTGAGGCTGCGGTGGAAAGAAACCTGAAGTATAGGATCAGCACTGTAAACATTGCAACAACATGCTGTCTACTATGGCATAGATGCCATTTTTCGAGAAACGTTCAAATACATCTTGTGCGCTGTGTATGCAACGTCTATAAGTCATGTAAAACAATTACCTGCAAACTGAAATAAATATAATTTAATTATACGGTTTCGAATTGGATGTTTTAGGAGATTACAATTTTTTGCGATCATTTGGTGTTGAAATTAAGAATTTTGCAGAATAGCGGACTTTTTGTTGATTTTGTGTTGGATTCAGCGATCGCAGAATCACGAAAAACTAGAGGGTCTGACAAACGAGACAAAACAAAGTAAGAAAATTAAAATTTTTGCATTGGGATTATTCAATTTCTATACCTGAATACTGGTGGACACCCCAGAAAACCATCGAATAGCGCAATGCAAAGCATCTTCTGAAACTGTATTCAAATTGCAGAAAAATAAAATATCGCAATGTCAGATTTTTCCAACATCATGCAGATCTCTCGCTGACTCTCATGTGTAGTGCTTTGCTCAGTTTCATTTACTTTCTCTCCAGCTGATATCCAGCAGAAGGATCGTGAGGTTCTGGAGCTGTTACAGGAGCGTGTGACTTTGTTCTCTGATTTGGTGGAGGCCACCGGAGGTCAGAATGTTACCGTTCCCACAAACTCCAGAAATATATTCCGAGCAGATACGCCTTACGCACCCCAGGCCGAAAAGCTACTGAATGAAGCCATTGTTGAGGGTAAGCAGAGAGCTCTACTGCTTTGAGAGTATACAGAGCTTAAGATCTAGAGGTTCAGACATTAAGACCGATGATTTATTTCAAATTTCAGTGGACAGGCTGAGTGACGTCCTGTTAAGCTCCTGCATTGAGCGTCCACAGTCCTGCAGACTCAATGGTGAAGCCACAGAAGTACAGCTTACCTCTAAAACAGCAGGTACCATATTGGTCATTTTGTTTTCATAATTAAAGGGATAGATCACCTAAAAATGACAATTCTTTACATGTTTCAAACCAATTTGAGTTTGTTTTTTCAGTCAAAACAAAATTATTTAAAAAAATACTGGTAGCTGGTACCCATTGACTTTCATAGTTATTTTTTTCTACTTTGGAAGTCAAACCAGCTAAAACAAAGGAAAGAAATTCACTAGAGCAAATGAGGAAGTATGTACATTTTTGGGTAAACTACACCCTCAGTTATCAAATTATTCACAAATTATTGTGTAAGTGCTTTGTATTTATACGCATATTTGACAACTTTCTGCCTAATTCACAACACTTGCATATGCACACGAGCTTGTTCTTAAGCACTCTCTTCTGTTAGTAAATTTGGAGTCTTGTAAATGAGCGTCTGCATGCACAAGGCAAGTAATGAGCATAATACAGGATGAAACCAGCTCCATATAAGGACAATTTCCACAAAGCGGCTCTCATCCAGAGAAAGACAATTATAGCAACAACAAAAAGGAAAGAATTTTAGTTATAATGAAGGTTTTGCTGTCAGAGGTGGAAGCCTAAAGTGACTAAACTCCTCACAGTGTGTTTACACTGGGGCATTGAGAGCGCAGCAGAGCGAGGGGTTTCAATTCATTCTTGTACAGTTAAAACCAGAAGTTTACATACACTGTTTAAAAAGGCACATGACCATTAAAAAAAAGTCAGATGTTAATGTGACAAAACTTTTCCTCTTTTAGGCAAGTTAGGATTGTCAGATTTGTTTATGTTATGCTTAATAGCTGAATAATGAGAGATTTTTTTGAGAAATTGTTTTAACTTTTCTTGAAAGTCAAGTTTACATACAATAAGATTAATATTCCCCTGAAAAAGCTCAGATGATGGTGTCAAGGTTTTGGAAATTTCTGATTGGCTCATTGACAACATTTGAGTTAATTGGAGGCACAACTGTACAATAGTATTCAAGGAAAACCTCAAACACACTGCTTCCTTTTGTGACAACATGGGAAAATCAACAAGCCAGAATCAACAAAAAAAGCCAGATTACCATTTGCTAAATTACACTGGGGAAAAGAATATTTTTTAGAGACATGTCCTGTGGTCTGATGGAACTAAGATTGAACTGTTTGGCCATAATGGCCAGTGTTACATTTGGAGGACAAAGGGGAAAGCTTACAAGCCTAGGAACACCATCTCAACTGTGAAGAATGGGCAGCATCATGTTGTGGGGCTGTTTTGCTGCAGGAGGGACTGGTCCACTTCACAGCATAGATGGCATCATGAAGAAAGAACATTATGTAGAAATACTCAAGACATCAGCCAGGAAATTACAACTTGGCCACAAAAGGCTCTTCCAAACAGACCATGAACCTAAGCATACTGCCATACTGTGCTTTAAGGACAACAGAGTAAATGTTTTGGAGTGGCCATCACAAAGCTCTGACCTCAATCCTATAGAAAATTTGTGGTCAGAGTTAAGAAAGCTTGTACGAGCAAGACAGCCTACAAATCTGACTCAGTTACACCAATTCTGTCAGGAGGAATGGGCCAAAATTCCATCAAGCTATTGTGAGAAGCTTGTTGAAGGATACCCAAAACATTTGACCAACGTTATACAATTAAAAGCAAAGCTAAAATAATATAAAGGAAATGTGTGTAAACTTTTGACTGTCTAGACATTAATAAAAAAAATCAAAAAAAAAAAAAAAAAAGAGATAATTTCTCATTATTCTGGCTTTTAGCAAATGTAAATGATTTGGGTAATCCTAACGGACCTAAAATAGTAAACATTTAGTATGATTTACCATCAGAAATTTTCAGAGTGTATGTTAACTTCTGGTTTCAACTGTATGTTATTGGACCTTTAATTATACTGTATTTTCAGTTTTTAACATCTAGTTACTTTTCACCCACCCTTTAAATATAAATAGATTTGCTATGTAGGGTTATTTATACAAGCTTATAAGATCCTAGACGTACAGATGGTTACAGATCAATGTGGTCTTACAGCTGCCGCAAATACAGCCGTGCTTTATCTGAAAAATGCGCCTGCAGCTTTCGACGGCTGGGTGGTGCTTTAACCATAGACTTTTTCAGCTAAAATATCAACACGCAATTTTCATGATTACTGCACACACGTGTGTTCAGTTGTTTTTGAACTTTTTCAATACATTTAGAATACATTTTAATGTGAAGATTTTTGTTGAATCATAAATTATCTGTGTATCTGTATGCAAATTTCATGCCAAAATGTCTATGTATGCATGTTTAGTGAATGAGATCTGAAATTTATGAATGTTTTGTGAAATTTATACTTAAAACAAGAAAATAAAAACATTAAATTGTTATTCGCAGTTTTTTTGTTAGTTTTATAATACAATATTTATTATAATTTTGTAAGCACAGAAAATAAATGATCGGATTTAAAAGCTTGATTCAAGTCAAATTACATTTCTATCATTATTTATTCACTTATTTGTAAGTTGTCACATACAAAACTCTATTTACTTACATTTGTGATACATATAAAATACATAAATATGTATCCTTTAAACAAATGTAACCAAATACACTGCTTTTTAGCTCACATTGCATTATATTATCATCAAGTATTTTGAAATGGGATTGAAGATAAAGATTGGAATAAAACATTTCTTCTTATAAATTGTTCCGTTCTAAAACAGACAAAGAAAGGATATCAGTCAATGGAACTTACGACACAAACGGCCCATCTAATAAGGTAAGTGTTTGATATGTTAGAAAATGTAAAAGTTCCTCAGCTTTGTCCTTTCGAGTCACTTCATAACATTATGGATTCACCATTATTTCACAGGACAGGAATGGAAACCAGCTGCTGGACAAACTATTAAACGAGGTACACCTTAAGAATCTAAATATGTAAAAAAGCAAATCGTTGAAGAGGAATTTGAAGATAACTGTTTGATCTATTTATGTTTAGGAGGTGTGCCAAAGACTCGTGAACCTCAGCACTCAACTGCATTCAATACAGGTGAGCTTTAGAAAATGCTCATGTTCAGTGTGTATCTTCACATATTGTTGTCTGTTTGATGACAGTCACAGCATGGCATTTAAAAGCAGAGCTAATGTGTCTGCACCGATTACCTTGTGGTTGAGCACTCTGTTACTCAGTAAGGCCCAATCCCAGTTCTATTTTTGAACCCCTACCCCTTCCCCTTGGCCCAACGCCTTCAAGCTAAAGAGAATTGGGACAACCCAACCCTTTGGCGTGAATGAGCAAAACGAGGGGTAAGGGGAAGGGCGAAAGGGTAGAATTGGGATTGGACCTAAGATTCAAGGCTCAAGGTGTTTTGTCAAGGATCCCGCAATATTGAAAAAAATTAGCGCGATATCGTGTTTTATATCATTTGATATTGATAATAATTGAATATTTTAAACAATACATTTAGGAATATTAGGATTTTTTATTTATTTAACCCCTTTACTTTAATTTACCAACATTACTAAGACAAATAGTTGTAATAGTCAAAAAAATATATTCTAAATTAATTAATTAAAAATTTATCAAAATATCTGATCACTTAATAATAAAATAAACATAAATGTTCAAGAGACTTTGAAACTTGATAAATAAAATGTTACAAAGTGTGTGCTATGGTAAAGGTTGATCAACGTCTGTAAGATGCCCATAATAATGATATAGTAAACCTCAAACTCTATAAACAAAACAAATTATGAGAATTAAATTTGAGCTTTCAAGTAAAGGAATCAACCATTATTATTCAAACACATACTGCAACATTACAGATTGTGAACGATCACAGTATCCCTATGCCAAAAACTCTTTCAGATAGGGTGCTATTGTGGCTGGGATGCACAAGAAAAGGAACCAAAAAGCCACTCAGCCGACATCCTTGCATCCTTTTTATTTACAATCTCTTCACTGCTGCTATATGGCACTTTTTAGCATGTGTTGTTATTCTGACCTGAAGTGACGAGTGCAAGTGCGTGGTTTCCTTCACCAGTTTCTATGCGCTTTGCACTCGCGCTCCTCTGGCATTTCTCGTAACTAAGCTGTTCATCAAGCGTTTTTCTCTGAGGATGACAAACAGACAAATCATTGCTGCAGCTCCTATACAAGTTTATGGAGAAAAGTAAAAGGCACTGCAGTGTTTGGATGCACTGTATGTTTGAGGTAATTAGCCTGCTGTTATTACTGCAGTGTGTATATTCCATCCAAAGTGTGAAGTAGATTGGGTAGTTCTACTTGCATGAATCGCGGTGCACATGCGGATTTGGAAAACTTCTGATGTCCTTCAACTAGGTGTACCAAGAAAATGTACGCACAGCTCACACACCATGTACGTGTCGTCCAAGTCATGCCAATGAAAAACTTACACCCTAAGCTCATTGGCATTCCTTCCAAGGCGCACGCTCAGCAGCCACAATTTAATAAAACTGTAGACGAATTACCAATCTACATCCCACATGACGTCACACAGGTTCCCGGTTGCAAAAAGAGACCAATGGCAATAGCAAACATGTCTTGTTGTGCGGTAGGATGCCAACTTCTATAATAGAAAACTCCAAAAATAGAAAACAGAACTTTTACCGTACACCACACTGCTTTAATGCCAACTGCAGACGTCTTTGGCTAAAAGGGAGCTGAATGAAGTGAGGACCCAATTAGAATTGCTCCACTGCTGTTCTCATTTCATATCAGGTAAGTTCACACTATGCTGAATCATAAACATTACTCATTTTTGATTGCAGCAATTATTTCAGCAAAAACAGTTAAATATGTTGATATTAAACTGCGGACACTAAGAATGAAAGGTGAAAGTGTCGCACCCTGAATGTTTACAAAGATGGCAATTCGTCTATAGCTTTTACACGAAACTTCATACCGAGCTTTTTTTTAATCGTTATCGACAATGGTGTTTGGTCAATAAATACCGATACCGATCTTATCGCCCAGCCCGAACTCAATATATTATTGAACCGTTCGGTATCCCATGGTTTAATACAGCGGTGTCTAAACTCGGTCATGGAGGGCCAGTCTCCTGCATAGTTTAGTTGCAACTTGCCTCAACGCACCTGCCTGGAAGTTTCTAGTATATCTAGAAAGAGCTGGATTAGCTGGTTCATGTGTGTTTGTAAGGGTTGGAGCATAACTCTCCAGGACACCCCTGGTTTAATACATACAGTTGAAATCAGAATTATTAGCCCCCAGAATATTTCATAACATAAATCACAAAAGACAAAGGCTATACTCTCCTGCTCAGATGAAATTTTTACCTCTATGATAGTGCGGGCCAGAAATCTGCTCAACATCCAGCTCAACCGAGGCCTTTTTTTGCCATTGCTAGTTTATCTTGGTTATCAGATATCTCCTCGATGCACATCTTCACCACATTTACCTGGAATAATATTTACACATCCTATGAAGTTTGCCGCACCTACACAGCTGCGCGCTTCGCGATTTCTGCACGTTTCATTGTTTAAAATATGTCAGCATCTATGCTTTGCAAACGACAGGAGCCAATCACATTACTTTTTCAGTGTTGCGTAAATGTGATTGGCTAGCATCTGCTCTAGGGTATTTGCACCGAGCGACCTAACTGGCACCTGTTTGAGGATTTAAAGTTCATGTGAATCACTGATGCTGACATAAGACAAATAGCATTTCGATTAATCCCAAGACAGTCTTATTCAGTGAACCACCTTCACTGTGTCCATAGGCTGCAGTGATCAGACAGGACTCGTTCCTGGAGGTGTACATGCAGAAGGACACAAGTCCCACAACTGGTACTCCAGCTGGGTCTGTAGGAGATTTTGCAGAGCTACAGCGCAAATACAACCAACTACAAGGGGAAATGATTCGACTGCAAGCCGCCCAGGACAAGACCAGCAACGGGATACCAGTTCAAGACCCGGCGAAAGGCCAAGACAAGCGTGAGAAGTTGACCTCAAAGGAGTCGGCAGAGCAGTTGGATGGCAAGCAAGACGAGGGAAAGATGGTGATGTCTCCTCGAGCTGACAGTCCCAGAGGTCAGATATATTCACAGATACGTTTCTTTCACTCCTCTACACAGTTGCTGATAGCCCGTTACAGTTATTTAATAACGGTCTGATCAGGGTTATTTGATGATCAGATTGTGCTGTTTAAATTGAGTCACATTTTGCCGTTAAAAAAACTATAAAAATGTACAAACAAACGGCAGGATAACTCTTTCATTTAGGTCACATTTCACAGTATTGGTAAACCATTAACCAACACTACTAGCTTAATAAACCTTAATAAATTAGCTGCTTAGTAATAGCCAGTTAGAAGTTTTGTTTAGGCTTTGTGTAGGATTAAGGATGTAGGGTAAGATCATACTTTAATAATTAACAGTTAATGTCTTAATTATAGGCAGGTAATAATCCAGTAGTTAATTGCATGAATTTTGATCTAAACTAAACCCAAAGCATACTTTACATCATACACCAGCCTCAGCCTGCAGTGCACTTGATATGGACTTTATCAACAGAACATGCTAACGATACTGTAGATAGACAGACAGACGGACAAACGGACAGATAGATAGATAGATAGATAGATAGATAGATAGATAGATAGATAGATAGATAGATAGATAGATAGATAGATAGATAGATAGATAGATAGATAGATAGATAGATAGATAGATAGATAGATAGATAGATAGATAGATAGATAGATAGATAGATAGATAGATAGATAGATAGATAGATAGATAGATAGATAAGCTTCCCTTGTTTACCTTGTTGGGAAGTTTGCAAGTACAAGTCTACACGTGGAGTGGAAAGCAGTCATAGGCAAAGAAATTAGAAAGTACTTTACATTTGTGGGGTCATGGGAGTTTACTTTAAAAATGCTGTTTGCTCAACTGTACTATATTGTATTCTTTGGACTTTATAGTCACTCTGGTTTTACTCTTATTCACCATTAGATTCAAGCTGCAAAAGTTTTAACAATTGTTTTATTAAAAAATAATTGTTTACGGTATTAATGAAAAACAAAGTGACATATATACAATTGAAGTCCGAATTATTAGCCCCCCTTTACATTTCTTTTTAAAATATTTCCCAAATGATGTTTAACAGAGCAAGAACATTTTCACAGTATGTCTTACGATATAAATATATATATTTTTTGGAGAAAGTCTTATTTGTTTTATTTTGGCTAGAATAAAAGCAGTTTTTAATTTTTTAAACACAATTTTAAGGTCAATATTATCAGCCCCTTTAAGGTAAGTTTTTCGATAGTCTACAGAACAAACCCTCGTTATACAATAACTTGCCTAATAACCCTAACCAGCCTAGTTAACCTAATTAACCTAGTTAAGCCTTTAAATGTCACTTTAAGCTGTATAGAAGTGTGTTGAAAAATATTATTTACTGTCATCCATTTGACATACTGTCAAAGATAAAATAAATCAGTTATTAGAAATGAGTTATTTAAACTATTATGTTTAGAAATGTGTTGAAAAAAGGGGGGTTAATAATTCCGACTTCAACTGTATGGGCAAAAAGTCACACATGAAATGACACTATTTGTTTACAGTTTTTTGATATTATACTTCATTTACACTTAGTGGTATGGTTCAGTACAGTTCAGTCCAGTCCAGTTCGGTGTAGGTCACCCTGATCAGGCTTGCATTTCCACTGCCAACACTATCTTTACTCTGTATGTGTAGTGTACATCAGAAAGCTCTATTCAACATATTCTTATTCTAAGAAGAAAGCTGTATTTGCCATTCACATATTTTGTCTTTTGCACACACGGGATCATCATTTCAAATTTAGAAACATGTTTTCGTAGAAAAATGGTGCCGTTCAATAGTTAATTTCTTCACTGTTGTATGCATCAGGAAGCTTACAACTATTCTAACCTTGAATTGAAGCGTAGCCAACAGGAAATATCAATTTAAAACAGGTAAAATGTGCTTAACTGTGTCACAATGTAAAACAGGGGATGTTAGTATGAGATTCAGCCTGAAATAAATTTTGTTAAATGTGTTAAATTGTCAAACATCTCCGTGCTCTTTCTGGTTTTCAGATCTGCAGGATATCCCCGAGGAGAGTGAGTGCGGGACTGAAGCTCACAGTTAACATCAGCTCAACTGGCAGAATCAGACTTCACCTCCTCCAAAACTCTAGAAAGCCACCTCATCAGTCACATCTGACTCGAGGCCTGTTCACAGCACCACAAATGTTTCATGCAAAAAAACAATCCAGTGTGATAATCATTTGAATCTGAACCAATGACTGTTAATGGGTCTGTTCAGAACGACACAGAAAAAAGACTTGCTGTTAAAGGATTAGTTCCCCTAAATCAAAATCCTGTCATCATTTGCTTCTTTTTGAACACTTTGAAGTGTCAAGAATTTAGCTTTGGGTTAATGGACTAATTTAATTTAATTTAAAATCTCTCAGTTTTTTTATCTAAATATCTTTGGTTACACAACAACATCTTCAGCCAAAAAGCTGTTAGTTTACATTACAATGTCATTTTTGGGACTGAAAACGCAAACTGTACATTTGAAAGTGAATGCTTTTGAATACACTGCCGTTGTTTATGTCCGTGTAAACACTGGAAAACAAAAGGCCGAAAACGATGACATCATACTGTGTGCTTAGACAGGTGTAGATTAAAGGCAAGCGCAAACAAACATACGCAACAATGATAATTAGGGTTGCGTAATTTATCAAAATTCAATTTTGGCCTCCAACGATCATGAAAAAGCATTAATCGAGATAAAACGCCTATCGAGTCATACCTTTAAGCAGACTGCATTCATTACTCTCAAAGCTCAGTTTCACATGGAAAACAGTGAAATCATGTAACGTGACTTCTGCTTCATTTCTTGACATGTATTCGAGTCATTCATGTTTTTAAAAGCATGAAAGAGAACTCTGTCCATGTTCTTAGCCTTTCAGACGGTGGTCATCTTTAGACGAGTGCCTAAAATGGTCATGCAAAAATGTCAAAAAAGCAGCAATTTAGTGTTTTTTCCTCATTAACCCCATTTATTATGAAGAAATAATTGAACATGCAGAGTTCACGGCTTGTGAAAGTGAATCCCTAAATCACAACTGTTTGGCTCTTAAAGTGACAGTACACTATATTCCTGCTGCCGACTGTTTTCATCATTATTAATCAAACAAAAAAAGACACGTACAAAAACACTCATTCATGCTCTTGACTAAAGGACGTTTGTAGCGGGGCCACTTTTTCCTCTCCCCAGACACTTCCTCCAGCTCCTCCAGGGGGGATCCCGTGGCGTTCCCAGGCCAGCCGGGAGACATAGTCCCTTCAGCGTGTCCTGGGTCTTCCCTGAGGCCTCCTGCCGGTGGGACATGCCTGGAACACCTCCCTAGGTGTCCAGGAGGCATCTGAAACAGATGCCCGAACCTCCTCAGCTGATTTCTCTCAATGTGGAGGAGCAGCAGCTCTACTCCGAGCTCCTCCTGGGTGTCAGAGCTCCTTACCCTGTCCATAAGAGTGCGCCCTGCCACCTCTCAAAGGAAACTCATTTCAGCCACTTGTATCTGAGACCTTGTCCTTACGGTCATGACCCAAAGCTCATGACCACAGATGAGAGGAGGAGCGTAGATTGACCAGTAAATCGAGAGCCTTTGCCTTTCGGCTCAGCTCCTTCTTCACCACAACAGACCGGTACATAGACCGCACTACTGCTGCCGCTGCACCAATCCCCCTGTCAATCTCACGTTCCATCCTTCCCTCACTCATGAACAAAACCCCAAGATGTGGTGGGTTTCTTAGGTTATTAAAGGTGTTTTCTGTCACTACTCGTTTAGCCTGCATTAATGCATTCAGTATAAGCTGCACGATTGATCATTTAAAAGGTCGGGATCTCAACACCCACACAACAAAAGTTATAAACGATGGTGACTTGCATATGTTTAATAATCCTTCTAATCGCTGTATTCAAATCTGAAAACGCAAAAATCACAAACAGTCTAATGACACAGAAGTACTGGGAGAACAGTTTATAGTTTAGATGAAACCACTGATGTTCACAGTAAAGATTAAAACAACAAAAATGGAAGTTGTAAGCAGCAATTACACTATTTAACCAATAGGTGGCGACAAGAAGCAATCAACATCAATATGCCACTGAATAATTCTTCAAAAATAACACATCTAGCAATGAAACGAAGTTTTATAAGTGAATAACTGAATCATTTAATGAAAATGAGGCTAAAAATAAATATGGGTTGTACATATTATAATGTAAGATTTCTACATTTAGCTTTATCAGCACAGTAGTAGTTAGAGTGAATTTTTCACAGTCTAAATATATTTTACCACTTATTTTCATTCAGCTGATTATTTATTCTTTTTATTTTTTTTTCCAAAAAATGGTCCAATCCAAGACTCAAAAGCCATAACAGGATTCAACACTAAGGATTTTTTCTACTGGCCCGATCGGACCAGTGGTTCTGATTTTTACCTGCCCTGCCAATATTTTCACTGGTCCAACAAAAAAAATATAGCTATTTCTTAGCCTCACATTTAAAAAAATGTGTGAATCTAGAATCTAAATATTATAAAAATGTTAATTAATGTATGATGAGCAAAATTCAAAGTGTTATGCAAACAAAAGTAGCGGTATGGAAAATTTGCAGGTATTTTATTGCAATACAAAAGTGGCTGACCTGCCAAACTGATGGCAAACTGTACAAAACATCATCTCTTTTTTTTGTCGTGATGTACCCTCGCAATGTCTGCTTTAAAGAAGTTAAAACCAAACCTTTTCTTTTAGCATCATCATTTGATGTTGCCGTCTCTTTGCTGTACTGGTTGTTATGGGAAAAAAATAACGTGCTTACAACATCCAATCAGATAAGAGGAACCAAAAAAGTAATATAGTGCTTAGGACATCACAGAGAAGGTAGCATTTGAAGGCTTAAAAATCCAAACTGTTTCTCAATTCTGTATTTGCATGCTATTGACAAATAGTCGCAGGCAAATTAAACTTTAGTGATGTAACCCACTCGCTCTGTGGGGTTACAGTGACAAGGCAGCACTGGCCCAATCAGGCCAGTAATGATCCTGTCTACTGTCCCGAGCGTCTCACAAGCTGGCCCCGGGCCATCGGGCAGTCCTTATTGTTGAGCCCTGCATAATGTGATCTAAACTGTGAGATTTGTGATCCGTAACGCCACTATAGCATACATAATAAAGCTCGTTTTGATGTTTATGCACATATGTGTAAATGTAGATCGTTTTAGAAGCGTTGTTGTGTAGGCATTTCAGTGGAAAACCTTTCCGTTTTCAGCTATATCATTTTACACAGATTCATTTGTATTCTGAAGAGAAACCAGTGGGTTTGGAATGACATTTTGATTTCAAGGTGAACTAACCCTTTCAACTGAGCATTTTTAAAGTGCTGGATTTGTATCTATTTTTTATCACACTGTGAATAATAGTGCCTAACTAATGAGATTTACTGGATGAGCAGGGTATTTCTGCGTTCTCTATAAGCACCACCTGCTCTTAAAGAGCCATTTGGTGCGATTTGTGCATTTTCATTCAGACTGTTTGCTGTTTTTATACGTTACTTGAACAGTCAAATTGCGTGCAAAAAAAAAAAAACATACCAAATTTGTGTTGGCGTGAACAGGCCTTTACTCTGTAGAAAAATGTTGAACATTTTATATTAAACATAGTTTAGAACAAGTAAGTCTTTATAAAAAGATTTTCACTGTTACAACATTTTCAATTGTGCTATTTAAACGGGTTTATGGTGTATTTTTACTTTAATGAAAGGACTAAATGCTGAGGTAGAGATGAAGGAAACTTTTGAAGGTATTCTGGTTTCATGCTGACCTTAGACACGTGTTTCAGGCTGTTGATTGTAACGTTTAACTATATTATTGACGTTGTTGGCATGCTTCATGCACATGCTTTTCATCTGCTGAAAATAAGCGACATTATGCTGAGGATTAATAAATGTAGCACATTGAAGGCCCTGGTTATTTGGCAGGAACTTGAAAAGGACTTTAAATGCCACAGTTTACCTCCAAGAAAACGCTTATAAATTATAAACAGTGGAGGATTTCTCCTGTACTGCTGAAGAGGATATTCATGTTGATATTGATAACAGAAGTGGGAAACAATGATTGTGAATTCCTTGACCACTTGAAGTCACACTAAAGCTTTTTAACGTCTTATTGTTGATATTGTGTATGTACAAATGCTTGAATGTTTGGGGATGAGAAGAACCCTTTAAACATGGCTGTTAAATCATTGTTTATATATAGCTTTTTTTATTCATTTGACATCGTGCTGTGTGTTTGAATATACGGCTGTAATCATGTATTTTGTTGCTCTGCATCTATATAAATGCATTGATGATTGGTTCTGTTTCTTTAATTACACAACACATCCATATTTGGAATGTTTTCCTATAATATTTAAGGGGTAGTTCACCTATAAATGAACATTTACTCAATTCACCGACTCATTTTTATCCTTTATGGGTTTCTTTCTCCTGTCGAACACAAAAGAAGATATTTTAAGTAATGTTGGAAACTGGTAACCGCTGACCTCCATAGTATGAGGACAAAAACCGTTTATTTCATCCAAAATACCCTCATACCCTCATTTTGGGTAAACTTGCAAAAAAAAAAAAAAACTAACAATGCAATTTAAGTTGATCCAATGTTTTTTTTCAGTGTAATGGTACAATAGTATGTTTATTCTGTATCATCAACAAAAATATTACCATACAAAGCTGCAGAAAAACATTAGTAAAGGAATTTGTTATTTGAATAAGTCGATTAAGTCTATAATTCAATGATTCATTCTGAAAGTGAGTCATTTGCAGTTTATTATTGAATCAGTATAAATCATTTGAATAAATTATTCAAGTTAAGACAGGGACTTACCTACTGGCCTTCTTTAAGTTTCATATTTATATATCCACAGGTCATATATAATAGGCCCATCAGCCAATGCACAATCACAAAATATACTGAACCCTTGTGCACTGTTTTAATTGACTACCCTTTTGTTATGTTTGGAATTAAAACATCCACTGAATTAATCTGTTAATCAACCTCAGTCCTGATCAACACTACATAATTGTCACATGATCACAGGATTTCAACTCTTAAATTGGCAAGTTCATAAATGATGTCACTGATTTGGTGAAAAACACACACAAAAAGTAATTGTGGACTGGATTTTCCCCCCCTCTTATCACAGTCTTGGACATGATTAATAACAACATTGGCTTTAATGCATTGTTAGATTTTTGTTTTGTTTTTATTCTTGTCATAATTTAAAA